TGGGTTTAAAGAGTATTGATAGTTTAAAAAGGGAATTGTTATTAGCACTCCAAAAATCTCATTCTACACTCCAAACTTTCTATATTAGGAAAAAAAAATATACTTGTGAGGAGTGTAGAATAAGATTTTTAGAGTGCCAATAACACTTCCCTTAAAAAAAATGACATGGTGTAGAAGGAAATTATGTGAGTTCAAATAAAATTTTCCTTTCTTCATGGCTATTTATCCTCTACAATTTACTATTTTTGTCAACCATAATTTTTCCAGTTTCATATAATTTATTTGAAACAAATTAATTTTTAGTGTATAATTTATTATATTTGAGTCTTATTAAGTGGTAATGTGGATGTGTTTAATACTGAATGTTTAGATAATCTTGATGAGTTTGATACCGAATGTATATGTAATGTTGGTATATAGGTTTTGTTACCTTGGAGAGGTGATGTAGATAGGATTTGTTTACATATTGATAAGGTTTCAATTGCCTATGCTCTAAGTGTCCATTTTTTGATGGCATTGAGTTTTTTTAATACGTTCTATATTATTTACATCATGGAGTGAGAGAGTGGGTTAAATTTCACAATGAGTTTGCCATAATAATTTAGTTTGAATTCGCCTATGGCAAGAATGAATCTAAAATTTCTTACTTACATGTGAAAAGGAATATCACTTCATCGTAGTTCTAAGTTGTTTTTTTTTTTTTTTTTTTTTTTGAACATCCCAGGGCTAAGAAGCCTAACAGAAGCAAGAAAGCCTACGCCGAGGCAAACACAACGAAACTAAACACAAAGCAAAGCAGTGAGCGGGGATACAAACCATAGACACTTCATCGTAGTTCTAAGTTGTTTTATTTTTAAAAAAAAAAATAGACATTCAATTCTACCTCAACAATAGGATTTAGGACTAACAAATTGTTTCTCATGGTGACAATGCAAGCTTTCAAAATCCAAAAGGTATAATTTGACCAAATAATTTATGCATTTAATCAAGATTTTAAAATTGTTTTTATATTAATCTAAAATGGCAAATTCGTCAGAAATAATAAATTCAATAGACATTAGTTACCAAAATTAATTTGGGATTTCCTTGGTGAGTTGAGTGTGTCTAAATCGAAATGGCCCTTTATTTATTATTATTTTTTAACAAATAATATTATACACTAAAAGGATGCCTCACAATGGGTTAGTAATAATGTAGTTTAAATTAGCATTTGACGAGAATCCAACTTAAGATTTCTTACTTACAAGTGAAGAAAAACATCATTAGACCATAGTACTAAGTGGCAAATGCCCATTTATTTTAAATATAGTGTTTTGAAGCAAATGTAGCGAAGTAGTGTACTGGAAGCAGCCTCTTTTCTGCTTCAAAACTCTAATTTTTTTTTTCTTTGCCATTTCTAAGCTCTTGGGACGTTTCGACAGAGAATTTTCAAGTATCAAGAGATTTAGGTTAAAATGGTTATAAATGTAACACAAAATATTTTAGGGAGATATTTGAAATGACTGCTCTTTTGCAAGTAGTTATTACAAATCTCTCGTATATCCAAGTCATTTCCTATCAAATGTTTTGTGGTTTCCCGCTCTTCGAAACCTCAGATTTATACAAGTTCGTATATAATATGTACCTATTTGACGGTAATACTGTTTCATGTATAATTCACATCTGGTTAATGGGGAAAAGGAGACAACTTAAACAAAAATATGCAAATATACGTATATAAACAGAGTCCCCATACACATGTATATTTATATATATGTGGCCATAAAGATTGAAAGTTAGATGAGATATATGATAGCACAGAATTGTTGAAGAAAAATGAGGATCTTTTAAAGGCAAATTCCTATTGTTTGTTGTTATTAAACAAAGGATTATATACTCAATTATACTAAAGCTTATGATGCTTCAGCATCAAGGCACTTAAGAGTGTGAACTTTCAGAACCAGGAAAAAAAAAAGATTAAATAATTCTCTGCCTAATAACAACTAAACAAGCCCTAGCTAAATATAATTATTACCAACAACCAAGTGGGTTTACTAGTTATAACTTTAATGTCGGCCTACAACATGGTTAATGAAATTAATTAATTTGGGTGCTAATACGATCCACACATTGAGCTTCAGAAGCAACTTCATCACCTGATTAGAATTTTTATTTAGAGTGAATGATTAACAACAGGTCTTAGTCTCTAGCAAGTTGCAGCAGCTAGTGGTTGGAATGACAAAAACTTAAAAGACCCAATTAATTGCAGTATCTTGGAAGGTATCTATCTCTTTCTGTTTCTAATATGAACTTTCTTTATCTGCTTAATTATAATTAAACATTAGTTAGAGAGTGACATTCCATCTGCATAGAAAAGGCAGCAGCACATGATTAATCAATTGATTAATGATGGCTATGCAAGGGAGCTGGGGGTTTTGTAGAAATGAATGTGAATGAATATATATATATATATATATATATATATATATATATATATATATATATATATATATCTTTGCTAAAATAAAGGGGAGATTCTAGGATTACATTATTCATAAAATCCTTCTACACTGACTCTGCCTTTGATTCTGGGATCAACGATAATTCTGCTTGATCTCTTCTCTCTCTTAGATCCGCCGGTTGTGTCTCTTTCTCTCAAACTCGGATCTGTGAGAGGCGGTTTCGTGAAATGAAGTGGTGATTTTTGTCTCTTTTATCACCTTCATGTTAGAATATGAGCATAGTGTAGGAGAATTTGGGCCAGATATTTGAGTTCAAATTGGTCTAGAAAAGTTTTATTGGAAGAGGTTTGGATGTTTTAGTTTATATATGATTGAAATAGGGAATTTATCCTAAATTACTCACTTATATTAAAACTGGGAGACAATGTTGGTTTCCTACAAGGGTTATAATTAGATATTCATATAGATTGTTTGTCTGTATAAATAGTGGTCGCTGCTCTTACTGAAGAACACGCATATTATTGGACTTAAGCCTATTGTAAGTTGAGTATATTATTTCTGCAAGAAAGGGCGAAGCTTACTATTGAAATCGGCTATGACTTCGTCAACTTCGTTTGTTAAAGGTTTGATTTATTTGTAAATTTCAAGCTTGTGTTTGTATGAAAATGCAAAACCTAGAAGAGGGTATATAATTGGTTGCTGTAGTCTTGAGGTTCCAATCCACATTAACTAATTTAGAAAGAAAAAAAAGGCAGTAGATGTTGGAAAATATTAGTATTTTGGTTTATTTGAATGTTTGGTTTTATGGGCTTAGCCCGTTAGAATTAGGTTTTGTTAGAGATTAGGGTTAGTTTATTATAAATAGGGTGCTTTGTTATTCATTAGAGAATAAGTTAGCCACAATGTAGTCTCTTAGGGTTTTGTAGCCGTTTCGGCATTCTCAGTTTGTTTAAGAATATTCTTATTATTTGTTAGTCTTGTTTGTTGTGCACTCTGATATTCTTATTATTTGTTAGTCTTGTTCGTTGGGCACTCTGATATTCAACTGTAGACCGTTTCAATGACCCTTTATGTATTAGGACTGCAACTGAAAAACTCCTTTAAATTTTGAGGATATCCTTCTGATATTATAGTTGAGTTTATTCAACTAACACTATCGTTTCCATTCAGCCAAAATAAAACCTAATTTTGTAATGATTTAAAATAAGATGAATCTAATTAAAAACCTTGTTTGGTGTATTTAATCAAACAAGGTATGGGAAATATATGCCTTGAGATGGCTTTCTCAGTCATTAGGCCCCTCTATATGGACCTGCTTACACTCACTAATCACTATGCATTTTGGCCCATTTGGTAAACGTGCTGCAAGATCTTCTAGGTTTTGCGTTAGCAGAGGATGTTGAATAATTGCCAAAACCCTAGTTCTTCTCAGCAGCCAAAGCCGAAAGCTTAGGTCAGCCAAATCACGATCAGTTTGTTTGTGATTGATGGATCCCCCCTCTCTTATTCCCTTGCATGTCACGTCAGAGCATCATACTGAAATTAGGGCATGACACATGGCATTACTTACAGTACGGTAATGATTTGATTAGTCTGATATGAATATGATAGTTGGACGTCAGATTTAATTTCCTTTTAGGATACAGTGATGACGTCGTATCCTGCTCCCACGGACATTCCATTCCAAAGTCCCTTCAGCATTACACCACTTCTAAGGCGATGATCAAATTTCATTTTTGTGTGGTATAATGCATATATGCGTGTCCTATGCTGGGGTATACAACAACTGAGGTGATAAAATTGACAACCCTGAATCTTCGACAGCTAGCTATTACCCTAGCTTGATACACATTGTTAGATGATTTCTCTAATATATACCTTAAACTTTTGAGGCAATGATTTTCTAACATGGTATCAGAGCCCCCCCCACATATTTTCAACTACTTACCTTAGGGTGCTACACTTGTTCCACTGTGCTACTATGCACGTGTCTGATTGTCTCTCCATCTACATCATGGTGGCTGCATAAGAGGGAGAGTGCTTATTTAATACATTGTTGACACATTTCCTTATAGGGTTAAGCTTTTGGGCAGTTCTCTAATATATTATCTATGTTCTTTTTTTAAGATAAATGGAGCTCCTCATCAGCCTGCGGCTCAGTGCTCCCTTTCCTCAACAGCAGCCTGCTCAAGTTTCTGCTGCTACTACGACTCCGGTAGGCGGTGGCTGGGGCAAATAAGAAGATGGTTACTCCATCTGATCCCACAACAATTCCAGTTATTTAATCCTCATTGTTTGAGTTAATCCTAAATCTGCTACATACTTTGATGAATGATGACTATACTTATTCTTGATTTCTTAAGGAAAATTGTCCAGAAAACAATTTCTTGAGGAAAAGCTACAATATCTTCGTTTGGTTAGTTGCCTAATTGTTTCTCATATCAAATTATATGACTAATGGTCATATTTAATTTCTGGAGCTTAGCAGAATGTTAGTTCCTAATACATATTAGTTTTCTTCAAATTGGATAAACAATGGCAATTAACTTGGACAAAGAATAAGGTGAAGGAAATTTTATTCAAGTCCTTTATTGGGCCAATTATGTTTTGAACTCCTCCATACAAAATTCACTACAAACAGAAAAATCAGCAAACAAGACACCGTGGGGCAAGAACAGCAAAAATAAAAAGTTGATTTCATGTTTTATTCAAGGGAAAAAAAATGTAGAAACCCTAAATCCGTTTCATGCCCGTGAGGACTCTTGACAATGCACTTCATTCTCACACTAAATCCGATCATTTGCACACGGAAAAGGGCTACATGAGCTTGAGGACTCCTCACAGTGCACTTGATGCTCATACTCATCTTGTATGCTTCAGAGAAATGGAAACATCACCGAATCAATGGTTCTAAGTAGCGAAATATTAGTGTAAGATATTTCTTTTCTTCATGGCTTGAATGTTATTTAGGGACTGAAGGGGGCAAAGACAACCACGGAGTTGTGTCCGCCAAAGCCGAATGAATTTGAAATAGCTGCAAGTGGGAGATCTTTGATTAGCCAAAGGAAACTACGTATCTTGTAATACAAGGAACTCAGATACTATATTTTGGCATATTTATGAGAGTGTGTAAAAGCACTTACCAACGTTAACCTCATGTTGCTTCTTCACATTCGGGACAGTGTCAATTGTAACAGCAGGCTCCAAGTCCTACGAACCACAAGTATTAGTAAGTATTGAATTAAAACAGCATAATTTGATATGAAAAAAGTGAAGCAAAAGCAGGGGAAAGTGAATGTAGTGGGGAAAAAGCAATACATCTTGATTAATTGTAGGATGGAGCCAGCCAGTGTTGATTGCTTTAATGGTTGCAATGGCTTCCAATCCCCCAGCAGCTCCAAGACCATGTCCGATCATTGACTGAAACACAAAAAAAGAAAAAGATAATTAGAATGACCTGTTTTCGTGTGATAAGTTTAGTATAAAAATAATCCATCTTGCCGGATTTTAGTGGGAAATAGTATGCATACTGAGTTACTAAATCATTTCTTTGAGAGTAAATATGTAAATGGGATTCAGGTTCTTGCCTTGGTCCCGTTGATCTTCATCTCGGATGTGTCCTTAAAGACCTTTTTGATTGCATTAAACTCAGCCAAATCCCCTGCTAGTGTAGATGTTGCATGAGCATTCACATAGTTCACCTGTGAATCATAGTTTGTCCACACAAAAAAAATCAGAATCTCGAATGGCCATAGATACATTAATTGGCGAATAAAAATTTCCTTAGTTTTGGAGAACAATAAATGCTCTTACCTCTTCAGGGGAAACTCCAGCATCTTCTAAACTCTTGGTTATGCAAGACGATACACCAAGACCATCTGACCTAGGATCAGTCATGTGATGAGCATCGCATGTCACAGCACCTCCTAAGTACTCTGCAATTATCGGTGCTCCTCTTTTCAATGCACTTTCCAAGCTCTCCATAACCTTTGCACAACGAAACAAAAAATATTCAGTAAGATCCAGGATCCATACACAATGTAATCATATGTAAAGTCACACTACAGAAGAATGATATATGATTTTTTAATTACCAGTACACCAGCACCTTCTCCCATAACGAAACCATCACGATTTTTGTCCCATGGTCTGGAAGCTCTGTGGGGTTCATCGTTTCTCTGAGACAAAGCCCGGCAAGCAATAAACCCACCAACACCAGTAGGCATGACTGCAGCCTCAGTTCCACCAACTACCATAATATCTGCTTCACCTCTTCTAATGTGATTCGCAGCTGCGTAAAAACAGTAATTTGCGGTGGCACAAGCAGTGGAGATGGAGTAGTTGGGTCCCATTAAGCCAGTGTCAATTGCTAACAAAGCCGACCCCATGTTGGTAATGGAGTAAGGAATGAAAAATGGACTAATCTTTTTGTATCCCTTTTGAATAAGAGATTCAACTCCAGCGCTGAAAGCTGTTAAGCCTCCCATGCCAGTCCCCACAATCACTCCGATCCTTGTTCTATCCATCTATTAAAACAAAAAATCAATGTATCAGACAAGTGTTCAACGCTATAATGGGCAAGAAAACCTGAAATGCATTTTTCAGATAGTAAGAATGTGACTGACAGTTTGGAGAACTTCAGGTCCAAGGTTGGCATCTTCAAGGGCCTTTTTGCCAGCAACAATACCGTATCTCCAGCAATCATCTAGACGGCGATCATTCTTCCCATCAATGTAGCCTTTAGAGGAGAAATCACGTATCTGTCCAGCGAACCGAACTGAGAAGGTTGAAGCGTCAAACCTATCTATTAGAGTGATCCCACTCTCTCCCTCCAGGAGTTTGTTGTAGAATGTATCAATGTCACTTCCAAAAACTGAGACTAGACCCATTCCTGTTATTACAGTTCGTTTCTTGGAATCTGTTTCTCTTTTGGGAGCAGAAACAGTTGAAGATGCCATGGCCTTGATTATCCTGCATTTTGGTGCTGAGAATGGAGAACAAGATTAGAACTGGACACCCAATTGAGAAAAATCACTTCTCTGATCCTTAACCAAAGTACCAAACCAATACAAATGCCCCACAATGCGAAGAGGACATTCGAATTAATTAGATGAGTTGATAAGGTAAGTTCTTTTGCAACATATCTTGCGTGTTAGGTTGTCAGATTGGAGTACAGTCCTCAAACTTGAACAAATATAAACTTAATAAATAGTTCAGAACTTCAGATTGACCAGACTAAATTTCTCAAGATAAAACTTAATAGTAGTAACCAAGGCACAAAACAGAAGAATTACAAGAAGGATGGACCAATTTAGCATATTTATAAAGTAACAAGCTTTTCAATATTGTAAATTGAGAACCAATTTAGGAACAAACTAAACTAATATCTAACCATGCTTGCATCTCAAGGCTCACTACATCTAGGAAAGTTGTCATAGACACATACAGTCAGCTACTAGACTCATTTCTGCATTTGGAAGGAATATCCTTAGCCCTTCCCTGAAACTAGTCGTTCCTACTTACCCACTAATTGATTTTATAGTGGAACCTCACTTCCTTTAATATCATTTTTAATCTCTATCACTTATAGTAACTATAATGCCATTGCATCATAAAAACAGAAGGTAAAAAAAAAGGAAAATTGACAATAACAGAAGAGAGTTTATTTACCTGAGGTAAAACCCAAGCCATTTGACTTGTTACCATTTACAGGCATATGCATGGTCTCCACTTGCCTAAGCCCATCAAACTGTGCCATGGAAGCTCCATTAATGCTCCCAGCTTCTCTTGATCTAAACAGCAAACCAGAAGAACAAGGACCAGCAATTCCAGCCATGATTTCTTCTCTCTCCCTCTCTCTCCTCTTCCTCTTCCTCTCTCTCTCTCTCTCTAACTATTTTTCCAAAACAAGAAGAGGGTTTAATAGATAGAAGGAAACTCAGAAGGAGAGAGAGATATTTGGAGGAGGTAACAAAGAGAGGGTTTTGTTTTGTTTTGGCTTTAAATAATTTGGTTGGAAAATCCGCCACCTATCTAATTCGTTTAGAGAACAAAGTTTGAGGGCGATGATAGCAAAAGAGTCCTTCGATTGCTTTTGGTTTTGGTTTCATTTTTTTTTTCTCTGCAGCCGCTTAACCACCACAAACAACCACTTGGGGTTCAACTTATTCAATGCAAATACCTAAAAAAATGAAGAATTCAAATATTCTACAAGAAGAATTCACGTATTCAATGAAGGAAGGACATTATTATTGTTGTGGTTCAGGGTGCCTTGCCCTTCAATGCTTACCTGTTCCTGCGGTTGTTTATTACAATGTTGCCTGCCTACCTAATTGCTATGCACATCGTCTATTTGTAAATTGTTTCCACAGTATCTTCCTCCAAATAACATTACTTTCTCCTACGCCTAGTATTCGTGTTGTATTTTTCGTGTTCGTGTTGTTTTCATGATATATATATGATATTTTAACAGGTCGTATCGTATAATACCCGTTAAAATGAACGGGTAACATGATCCGATCAAAATCAACCCGTAATATTAACAGGTAATATGGTCAAACCCGTTAAAGAAGATATATTTTAATCAATAAATAATTAAATAAAAATATAATACTAAAAATGTAAATGAGATCAAAGAATTCAACGGTAAGGGTTTAATCTTACATAAGTGAGATTAAATCCTATGACTATTGTTGTAGTAAGGTTTTTGAATAGTTTTTTTTTTATAATGTAGAAGTGCGAAAAAATATATACAATTAATTATTCAACCCATCTACCTTTTGTAATGAAAAAATAATTGAGGTTTTACCCTAATAAAATCAATTGAGGAATTGGAGGAGTAGTCAACTCTCTATAAGCACATGAAATGTCTTCTTATTTTTTGCCAATGCACTATTATTAAGAAGTTGAATTACTTTTCATTTACCATAAGAGCAGTGTGAATTTCACTTTATTTTGAATAAAAGCTCAATACTTATCATACTACTTGGAATGATTTCTATAATTCCTTGCATGCTCATGTTTATTATTTTTGGTATTTAGACAAATCAAAGGAGAATAAACATAATTAAACAGGAATGTACTTGTGATGAATCAATATTTTTATATATATTTTACCCTAATCTTAGTATTAATTTACTGATTATTTTGTGTGAATTTTGATACTTTGAGTTATATTTCTAATGTAGGACATTCGATTTACTCTTGAGCATAAAGTAATCAAATGGACTAATTTTGGAGCGATTCCGATTGGAGGATGTTCGTGAGTCTATCAAGATGATTGTGTCAAAGTTTTAGATTTTTCTACCAAGCTGTTTGATCGTGGCAAAGAAAAGAAGTGTCAGCGCGCAACTTTCCTAAGTTGATGTTTTTGGATGTTTTGGATATTTTGGAATCAAGATGGCATATTTTGAGGAAGATTCCTTCTGAGGATTCATATGGACGTCTTCAGCTTTCAAGTGACCTTTTGGGACCAAATCGGAGTTGATTTGGTCGGTCAAAAGTCTGATTTTTTTAGAAGTCCAAATTTCAATTCAAATAGGAAACCTTATTTGCTAGTTTATTATTTTATTATGTTTCCTAGTTTTATTGTAAGACCTTTTAGGGTTTTATTTTGTAGTGTATAAATAAGGATATTTAGCCATTAGGGTTAAGAGGGAGATACACTACTTTAGAGAATTTTAGACTTTTTACCTACAAAGTGTTTTCTTTACATGTTCTTAATAATATTTTATTTTATGATTGTTCGTAACTAGTTTCTTTTGCTAGGGCGAGGCCACGAGCCTTAGCAAAAATATGTAGTTTCTTTTCATTTTGCTTATGATATTATGTATGCATGTTTTGAATTATTAATCATCGGTGTAAATTATCTAAATATCTTAGTGTTTGCAACCATTAGAATATTTAGAAAAGTAATTTGATGCAATTTTGGTCAAAAGGTTCCCTGAAATTGGCGCTAGCTTCTTGTGGTTAATAATTGTAATTTCACTAAGATGAACACCGCGTCTTAAGGGTTGCATGGTTTTTCAAAGGATTTTCACAAAACTTAGTGAGTCTTTCATGTTCATATTTAAACCGAAGGTCCGGACGGGTTGCATGTTAAATATATGTTCTATGTTGGAGGTTCCACGTAGGACATACTTTAGGAAAACCTAACCTTCGAAATATGCATGGGTAATTCATAAGTAATTGGAAGAACTATGTTAGGTGATGGCAAAACCCTAGTGTCTCCTTAAATTGATTTTCATTAAATTGATTTTCTAGTTGCATGTTAAATATATGTTCTATGTTGGAGGTTCCACGTAGGACATACTTTAGGAAAACCTAACCTTCGAAATATGCATGGGTAATTCATAAGTAATTGGCAGAACTATGTTAGGTGATGGCAAAACCCTAGTGTCTCCTTAAATTGATTTTCATTAAATTGATTTTCTAGTTGATTTATTAATTGTTTTTATTAAGTTTTTAATACTTTAAGTCACAAAATTACCATTTTCCAAACTTTGTTTTAAATAGTTAATTAAGAATTAGTTTAAATACAAATTATTCATTCAATCCCTAGGGAAACGACCTTGCTTGTGCCATTTATACTACAACTATCTTGTTCTCTTGCAAATATTTTTAAGTGTTTTTATCCCTACTTTTGTAGGTGGTAAAAATCCAATCAACAAGCTTTACAACATTTGTGAAGAGGTCAACTCCGAAATTGCCACCATAATCCCACAAACCATAGATTTAAATTTAATCGTCATTGTCGTTTACGTTTACACTCTATTATTCTCACCAAATCTCATTTTTCAGATTTACTTTTTTGAAAACATGATCTTTTAGCGAATGCAGATAGATGAACAGTTCGGCTCATTGATATCATGTTCAGATTTTTAGGGTTAGTGAAAATATTGCTCTAAGTTTATAAAGTCTCTAGGAACTATATAACATTTATTCATATTTCAATTAACTGTGAACATTAGAACATGACATCAAGGATCCAAACCATTCATTTTTATGCATTCGCTAACACATCATATTTTCAAAAAGAAAATCTGAAAAACGAAATCCGGTGAGAAGAGTAAAGTGTAAATGACACTCTACTGTTAAATGTAAATCTAGGGTTTATGGATTACGGTGTCAAATTTTGGAGTTAACCCCTTCACGAAAGGTGTAAAGGTTGTCATTATGAGTGATTGTATATATTTCATTTTATATTTTTTCACACTTCTACATTAATGTTATGAATTTTTATTAATTTTTCACTCAAACAATGAACACTATTCATGAGGAATTGGACGGTTTTAAAATCCGAAACGACGATGCCTCCATAGTCTAAATGTAGAGGATGCAACCATGAACGCTTGTATATTATTTTCACACTTTTACATGAATAATTATGAATTTTTATTTATTTTGAACTCCTCTAAGAACATTGTTCACAAGGGTTTGTAGTTTTAAAAATTTGGACGATGTACTAATCGTCAAAGCGTAAAGAATGCAATCACGAGCATTTGCATATTTTTTCACACTTGTAAATTAATTTTATGAATTTTTTAATGTGCTTTGGTATTTTTATGTGCTTTGGAATTTTTTAATCTCACTTATGTGAGAGTAAATACTATGGCCATAATATTACGTTTTTTAGTGATTTAAAATTATCAAACTAACTTTTTTCTTATTTGGATGAAACGGTTTATCTGTAGGTAAACTTGATTAACGGGTTCTTAGCGTGTGTCCCAATAACAACCTGATTAGTTAATATGTTGACCCGACATTCTTTATTTTCGTATCGTTTTAAGTTGGATTAATAAATCATGTAAGAAATTGTTATATCTACTTTTTCTGCACATGCCAAAAAAAGCCCCGATCGATAAGAATACTATTTAGGCACACGCAGGCTTGGCTTCGCATTACATGCAAGAGGCGTGGCCTCGATAACTTCGCTCAGTAGATGAGACACCGCATTCGCTTACGGGCCACTTAAGTTCTAAGCATGAGGAATAAGTCCAGCATGATTTCCAATGCGATGCATTAACGTTGGTTGCATTAATTTTCCATAAGTACTTCAAGCGCTTTTGGGTGAAATCCTAACTGCCCAAGTCGCCAACTGTCTTAGGCCCAGCCCAGGGACAGGCCTCTCTACTGCTGTTTTATATTATATACGACTATTTGGCCACGGGTTAATAACGGTTTCGTGGTGTAGTTGGTTATCACGTCAGTCTAACACACTGAAGGTCTCCGGTTCGAACCCGGGCGAAGCCACTTCTTATCTTGCGATAATCCTTTTTTGCTTCCTGTCTCGTGTATTGACTCGACTTCACTGAGCTGGGCCCGGTCCAATGCAGATCCAATTCAAAATTCCACCTATGTAGATTTAAGGGCTAGAATGTAGTCGGCGGTTGGTTATGCTAATATTTAAATACTTTTGTTTTCAACTGCCGACTTGCTTAATGTACAATCTTGCAACATCAACACATCGACATAAAAGTAAGGACACGTCACTAGATACAATCTTATTGGTGGGTTATAATGTAGGTTTGCATGTTTATAGGTTATGACTAAGGTTTTAAAACGTAAAGGCCATCTCCAAACTCATAATTTTGAACCTAACCCTCATATTAAGGCTTTAAAGCCAATTGCAGAGAATGAATTCATTGTTATGTGATGTCACCGACTCAATAATGTATTGCTCCATTTAAGTTTATACTCACATGACAATGCCTTTTTGGATTGAGACGTTATTGTAGCAGCAAACTCATTCTATTAAAGTTGCTCTCATAATTATGACCAACTCTTGTGAGTAGAGTAATATTTTTTTCACCTTATAATGCTTGAACCAAAATTTTCCTTTGATTTTTTCTTATTGGCTTTTCTGCACGCTCGTTCGTGCTCACAAAATGCCTTTTTTAATCACGCGAGCTAAGCGTGACTTACAGATGTCCTCATAGCAGTTGTTCACCAATGGTCGCCGCATAACGCAAGACAAGAACAAGGTCATTTAAGACCCATTTACTTGGCAAGAAGATGCCAGAGTCAACCGCCAGTTGACTCACGACATTGGAGCGATCTTACGCATGAAGTGCCCTATAAAAGCCTCTACACAGAAGAAGCTCGCCCTCAAGGTGAAGGGCGCGAGGTGACAAAGATCTCAGTAGGTGTGGTTCTTTTAATTTATTATTTTTATTAATTTTACTTTGTTAT